GTCAATTTCCCGTTCCATTTCAAATTGACTTATGAAAACCTGTAAATAATTTCAAATTGAGCTTTGCTGAATTTTAATTTGTTTTAATGTTTTTGTTATTTTCTTAGGTAGATTACAAAAAATATCTGTGGGTAAAATCAAGGTTCTGGGAGATATAAGTCTAACAGTTTTGATGCAACAGACAAGTGACACACAAATCGTATCGACGTATATATGAGTATTTTTTATAATTTTAGTGTTAATAAACTTCTAACTATGATATAATAGTATCTGGAACTAAAAATATAGCAATTTCATAAAGAACTATAACTTAAAGATAAAGTGCCTTTTTTCTGTATATCAAAAACAGTTAAAAGGCACTTATAGCTATATTAGTACAACGGTATATAATATTATACAAATAAGTACAATTATATTTGATTACCTAATATGTAAATTAACGTAAAAAAAATTTATAATACAACGATGCTTAAGATTCGAAATTTCGTACTTATACAAATTCTACTTTTTTTGAACTTTGTACGTGTTGCAAGTTACAATTTAATATTCAAATTATTCATTTTGAAAATAGTTTAGTGGCGGCGTATAGATGCTCGACCACCACCACCTAAATATTATCACACAGACCCGCGGGGGCTTTGCCCCCACACCACCAATTCACAATTCTACAACAATAATTCACTTGATCAAGTTAGTGTCTGAAATATAATAAAGTTACCTACTTATGTTTGTGCTTCGTAACTTATATTTTATAATATATCAATAAATAATAACAATACAGCTTTATAGTGTTTCCGGTTTCGTGTTACACTGTTACCACGATACCACGTTATTGTACACACTACACATAGTGTATTTCCAGTAATCGTGATATATAAATTATCCTAATTATTATATAATTAGAATAAATAGTATCAGTTGACCACTTGACCATATTATGTGTATTTTAATATCCATTCMAGGAGGTACCAAGTCTAATCGGTCGTAAGGCAATTGCCTCATAAAACACCCTATCACGCCGCCACTAATATAGTTATTATATTATTATTATAATATAATAACTAATATAGTCCTGAAGACAATTTATATGATGAAGTAAGGTAGAAATACAATTGAAGTTTATAAATATAAATATTACGAATTATGTGGTCACAATAGCTATGTACACTATTAGTGGATGGTCCGATCATGGTTTGTTCATAAATAATATAATCAACATACTCCATGTAAATAACATATCTATTTCAACGGACGATCACACCACCGTCTCCCACTGAATGAGTTAGTATTATTGAGTTGGCGGGAGAGTGACGAGAGTGTATATAAAGACGTCCGAGATCTCGATTCCGGTATAACACATCTTTTTGTGCAGATCTATTCTTTGGTGAGTACGAAACGATGATAAAAGTTTTATTTTTATTTTCAAAATATTAATATTTTTTTCCACTTTCAGTTTTCACTTAAATCCTCAAAAAACAACCAAAAACCAAAAATGGGCGCTGAAAAAGTAACCATGAACATCGTTGTCGTCGGACAAGTCCAATCTGCCAAGGCCATCAAATCGGTCGCCAAAGCCACACCAGCCACCAGCCAATTGATGGTGAGTTCATAATACATATACAAATTTTTATAAAATTTTTAAATGCGATTTGATAGGTTTTGTACATTTTAATTGCTAATTTATATATTTGGGAATATAGTCACTACAACCTTTTCTATATAAACATTAAAATTTTTTCAATTGATTTTGTTGACTTTAAATATTGGAAATACTTTCAAGTTTTTTATAGTTATGATTATACTAAAACAAATCACATTTAAATGAAAGCGAGGCCGAGAACACAAACTTTTAATAACCTTCTTTATACAAACATTTTGTATCTTATTAATTAATTAAACTTTGATACCTAACGTAAAACTTTTGGTTATATATGTTATTTTAAGTAGATATTTATGTTTGATGCCAAATTGAATAATTTTTGTTTTGAATGATGCGAGTAAAAATAATATATTTAAATTTGTTGTTTCTAAATAAATATTAAATCAATGATAACATATTTAATTGACTAATTACTTTTTTTTGTTTTATTTCATGTTTTTTCAATTATTAATATTATTGCACTTTAAAACATAGCAATAGCTATTTGAAATGTTTGAATACAAATTCAATTAATTATCAATTATATTTATTTTTATTTTTTGTTTTGTTTCAGAACTGTTAATTCATGTAGTCAATAACTTCCAAAACTCAAAAATGCCATAGCCCAAACAGTACAATAATATGTAATTCATATCCAGTATTGACACCGCAAAATAAACCAGTAATTTCCGATAAACTTGACTGTTTGATGTATTTATTTTTATTTTTATTTTTCCTGTTCCATAGTCCAAAATACAAATCCTTGGTTTTTTAACCACAAGGTGTTGTCATCAGTTTTATAATTAATCAAAAATACCTATCTATTTTAAAAGAAATTATATAGATTGATGGTATATGTTTTTAATCTTTAATGGTTTGACTTTAGTATGTCCAACAAAATTGTTCAAATTTTATCTTAAGGAATTAATCTATTATTTGTTGATTCGATCATTGACCTTGGTGAACACTTGTTGAGAGTATTGACTCGATATCAACAAGCTGTATATTGTGATATTAATTAATACATTATTATATGTATTGCGATATTGCGATGAATATAATGGTTAGATGTAAATATGTGATTAGTTTTTGTTGCATTAAACTAAACAAGTAAAGTTAATTACAACGTAATATTATTACTTATTTTTTTATAAATCATTAATTTTATTAAAATTATTATTTTGTTTTTTATAATAAAATATTTTTTCCATATAATATTCACGAGGGGTGCAATATGATATGTCTACCTACAATATTCTTGAATTTTAACAAAAATAACTGTTTTTAACAATAAAACTAATCTAGATTATTTTTTCTTTCAAATAAATATTATAAGATTGCAATAATTAGTGTATAAAAATAAGGGAATGAAATAAATTTTAAAAATGGTTTTATTACAGTTGGATTAAAAACAAAAATGAAAAATACAAAAACAAAAATTCAATATTGTTATTATTTATTTTAAGTGATAAATACATTTTATAATACTACATTTTATTAGTCGACATGTATACTTAAAAAACAAAAAAATAGTCATTCAAAAAAGAAATATTAAAATTTTAATAGTATATTCATAAATAATGTATGAATTTTATACTGTGTTACAATATATAAATGTATTTTTATATGAGAATATTGAAAATTAGGGTTCTACTTCTAATAATTATATCTGATATTTTAAATGTTATTTTAATTATGCATTATATAATATGATACAATAATTATTATACAATATTTACTATTTAGTACCAGCATTTAAATGTTTCAATTATTAGAAAAAAAGTATCTAAAATAAAAATAAATAACTATATATTTACGAATAGAATTAAATCTTTAATTGTCAAACGTCAGCCAGTGGCCTTCGCTGCCGAGGCTTATTCTAATAAAAAAAAAAAAGAATAAAATCTAAGCTTGTGATGCAAGTAAGTATTCAAAATTATTCAAAATATATTCATAATTTCCAAGAAACTTGCAGAAACACGTGAGTTCGAATTTTAGCATATAGGAATCTCTATAAGTCTACAATGTGGTAAAACGAGCTTAATATTTTTTATCAAGTCAAATACGTGATTTAAGTATGCAACAGAAAGATCTGACTAAATTAATAACTTTTTTCAAAATAATATTTTGTAAATATCCTAACATTCGCATTTCTCAAATTATTTTATATTCAGGTAATTTTCATAACTTTTTATTTAATTAGTATCATAGGTTAGGTAAGGCATAACTAAGCGCTAGGCCTTTCTCTTACACCCATTTTTTTGCAAACACATATACGAAATAAGTGGGTGTGTGGGCATGTGCTGCTGTACAATAGATATCCTCGCTGTAATGTACATGTAAAATTTGAATTCAATGATGTAAAATCACTGAGTATGAAAAGATGATTCTTAGTGAAAACTGTCTACAAGCCTAAAATGCAATAGTGTATTCAATTAATTTTTTTTTTATTAATTAGGTATCAGTAAGTTAAATACATTTTTGCCGAAAAGATTTCATTTTTAAAATGTCATTCTGCGTATAAAATATAATAATATACATTAAAAGTTTCAAGTAAACACGAATAGTAAATTCAAATTACAAAAACAAAATAACCAAAATCGTTATTATTTGTTTAAATATATAACAAATTTTAATTTCGACCAAAACTAAACTTAAAATATCTTCTTAAAAATTCTGTTACATAATATGTGTTTTTGATTGCAGTATGGACTATTTATGATAATCATTATTTTCAATTTTCAATCTTTACCCATAACAATTATTGTATATATTATAAATTGTTTACTAGGTATTAAATAATTTTCAATTTTGATTTTAAATACTATTATTTATAATCAATATTGAATAATACTGCTTATTCGTTTATTATGTGTTCAATGTCCGGATTTAAATTTCTAAAAATTATCAAAAAATACCTTCTTAATCTATAATCTTGTTGATAATATCTACTTAATACTACTTAAGTAGGTGCTATAATATTGTAGTTTACAATTATACAGAACGCTATTATATCTCTGAAATTTCATTTAAATTAAAACACAGACATAAAGCATGATCAGAACTTAGAATTGTATAAATAAATAAACAAGTTATTTGACTGTAATGACTGATTTATTTTGTAATGTCAATACATAATTTTGAAATTAGAAACAAATTATAAATTATGTAGTGTTTGGGCTATGGCATTTTTGAGTTTGAGATTGACGTGAACTTCATGAATTAACAGTTCTGGAAAAAAACAATAAATAGACGATTAATACAATAAAATATGATATTAAAGTGAAGAATTTTCATAGTATATTATACTATTATAAAGGGATAATCGAAGTTTGGAAAATCGGTATACCTTATTATCTCTAACAATAAGCAGACTAAAATTGATTAAATATCATCAATGTTAACTTTGACCATTTACAAAGAATGTTTTAGACATTTTCAAGAATTGCATCAAAGTAATTTTGTATGTTATGATTACAAATTAAAACTTTTGCCAAGCAATTATTTAACAATACGTTATCGACATTAAAATATATAAGTAAACTATTATTTTTGAATTAAATATAACAAAATCATTAAATTGAATGTATTTTAATATTACCTATATTAATGAAACAAAAATGATCTTTAATAATAATTATTCAATTTACCTTTTTATGTTATTTTTTTAAAACCAATCCTAATTAAATTTGGTGAATAACGTATTAATAAAATATTTAAATAAAAGAAATAATTATAAACATTTAACCGTAATAAAAACAGAAAATTTTAAATATTTTCATTGCGCATGGTAAAATAAAATTTAATAAAATAAAATACATATGAGAAAAAAAAATTGCAACAAAATATCAAAACGCATTAGAAAAAAATACCAACACAATATTATAAGAAATGAAAAAAAAAACACATAATTATTATTAACTCACCATCAATTGGCTGGTGGCTGGGGTGGCTTTGGCGACCGATTTGATGGCCTTGGCAGATTGGACTTGTCCGACGACGACGATGTTCATGGTTACTTTTTCGGCACCCATTTTTGATTTTTGATTGGTTTTTTGAGGATTAGAGTGAAATCTGGAAGTAGACAAAAAATATATAATAGGTATGAAATACGAACAATTATTTAAATTAAGCGAAAGGAATATTATTATTTCCCATTGATTACTCACAAGAAGTTTATATTTGCACGAAAATTGCGTTATGCCGGAATGAAGCATCAGTGCGTCCTTTTATACAATGGTGCGGCCTTTACTTATAACGACGATATGGCGTGATTAGAGCTCTTAAAGATGATTCGTGTAACTGATATCGTACGTCGGACGATGTCGTGATAATAGGTACATTGTACCATTGTAACGTCTCCTCTCCACCTATCGTACCTGTTAGGTGTCGTTCAGTTTATATTTACGAGGTATTGGAAACTCGACCTCGGTGTGTGATATTATTACTATCAGAGTTACCCTATGTGAAACAAAACTACTCAACGTATACATTACATATATATGTGTGTATTATCAATTATTATTATAACTACAATATCAAACTTGTAACATATCAAACATCAAATATTAGTACTTTTAAATTACAATTTATAAGCCGATATCCGGTGCGAGTTAAGCCGGTCGTCCGTGGGTCCTCTTCGGGTTTTTGTCAGCCCTCGACACCTTCACCATCAACTCTTGACACTCAACTGCCCATTGCAACCGCTAGGAGTCCCGGTCGGCCATTAAATTAGCACTCGTCGCCAGAGGCGGTTTGAATGTATTATACTTAGTGGTGCAAGACAATATATAGACACCCCCCCC